AAATGATAAGGTAACTTAAGAGAGTCCATTCAGGAAATGACCTTTTTGCTCCTTCCAAAATAATCAATGTGGTTTATACTAATATCCCCTACGCAAAGTGCAGGAGAGAAGCCACTGGGCTGATGTTGGAGCAGCTGTCTCACACATCTAACTCACTGGCTTTCACTGGACTTGCATCAGATTTTCTAAGGAAGAGGTACTTCAGTCATATTGTGGAGGGCTGTATTGTTACTAAGTTCAAAAGGAAGTCAGGTTGGAGAAAGAGGGTTGGAAAATCCAGTCACAACTTACAGGGAAACATGACACAGCAAACTTAATTTCAGATGTGTTTCCTTGTAACTGTTTTATTACACACATAAGGACAAGATCTTCAAATAGCACTTCCTCTGCCATTTAAGCAACAACAAAAAAAATCCCCCAGGTGAAGTGACTTCAGACACACCTAAACCTTGGCACCAGGCAGACATCTATTACAAATCTCCTACAGCAAATTGTGTAGAACATGTTATTGCTGATAATTCTTCCCAGTCCATTAATGCTTAGCTGGTTTGTACTCCTGCAAACTATTGTTGAGCTATTTCTTTCATCTGAGACCATTTTCTTCTCTTTGGATATAGAGGAACCAAACTTCAGTCTCTGAAATAAAAAATAGAAATTATTGAAGTGCAGTCAAATGCTGTATTTCCTTGGCTAGAAAACTCTGAAATGGATCTAAGCCAAACTTATTTTTGAAAAAGTTAGATTTGCTAAGAAATACTCTTCCTCTTTTTAAAGCTAGCGTTGTTCTAACACTTGTTTTTAAAGGTCAGGATCAGAGGTCTTCCCAACATCCCCATTCCATCCTGACGGGGCGGCAAAAAAAGTGGAAGCTAAAACAGTCAAAATGCATTTCTCAGCTTGCTCTTTGCTATGGCATATAAAACACACACAAGAAACCAGTTAGCTGTCAGTTAGTGGCATTCATGTAGTTTTGTTTGTGGGTACAGCACACACACAGACACCACACTCAAACATGTGTCCTGTTTTAATATAACCACAAACCATTCCTAGAGGTAATGGTTAATAATTCACTTAAGCCTAGAGATTTTTTTTTTCAGTCAAAGTCTTAAACCAGTAACGGATGAAAATATTGAAGCACGTTATTATAGCCATGCAAAAATAATCAAAATGACATAGGCCTGGTTCTACAGACTTTACTGAGGCAAATCTCCCATGGAAAGCAATAGCAAATTGTCCCAAGAAAAGATTGCCAGGCATATTATTTGTTATAGAAATGCTTTAGCTGCTAAAGAACTTCTGAGAAACCTAGTAATGCCTCAAAGTGAAATTAGATATTTTTATCAGCGTGCCCAGACGCTGCAGCATCTCATGTCCCCAGATCATTTGAAAATATTTTTCATAACCCTGAGATAGCTTGAGCAGCTTTCACTCCCTTTGGAGCCAGGGGCAAGGGCATTCAGTCTTGCAAAATCCAGGCAGAGAGCTGACTGAATCCTTTCCAGTTATTTTGCTGAACTTACAGTCAGACCCAACATGAATAGTCAAGGATAATAACGGTTAAATAAGAGCAACTCTGAGACAGGAAGTTGTCGCTTGAAGAATGCTGCCTCTCAGTGATGCTGGCTAGCAAGTGAAAAAGAGGAAGAAAAAATATGCCTGAAAAAAGCAGCTTATCTAGAAGTGCATGAAGTCAGAATAGTCACAAGTCATGGATTTCTACTATTTTCCCCATAATGAGACATTAAACCTTGTATGTGCATAGTATACTTGGATACAGTAATTGGTTTGGACACTCCGGTCAGATACAAACCATCAACATCCTTCTCTCAAAAGTGCCTACCACATGTAAGCTTAGCATTTACTGCACTTGGTTTGGGGTCAGACTCTTTTTCCTTGAATGAGAAGCACATTTTATAGAAGGATGGAAGGGACCTCTAGTGGGTCATCTTAACCCTAACAGCCGGATTTTTTTTTACATACCTTACCCAATATGTGAATGCAATCATTCCAGTTTCCATTGCCTTCCTACTCTGTGTGTGGGGGTGAGATATTGTTGGTATCTCCATTATGAAGCACTTTTTACATCAACCTTCCTGGGCAAGTCTTTTTCCCTGATTTACAAACACAGGAGTTGTTTGAATAACTGAGGCAGAAGGAGGCAGAAGGTCAGAGAGATATGTATCTACCACATCTTCTTTGTTTTAAGAAGATTTTTGATCTGGAGCATACAAAGGAAATTGGTAGGCAAAATGTAATCCTTAAGTCTGGCTGAGTAATAAAAGTCATGTGAAATGTAACACTACGTAATGTTATACAATCATCTGGAATAGCAGAATGTTATTTGGGGCCAGACTTGATGCTAAATATCATACAGACATTTAAACAGAAACCCACCCTCTTTGGCACACTAACCCCTCACACGTCAATCCCTGCATTATTTTGGAAATGCATACTCACTCAAGATGTAGATCTTGTAATGCTCTTTGACTGCCTTGTGTGTACTGGAACCAAATCTTTAGGCTTCATCTCTGTAAAATGGAATAGCTTTTCAATCAAGACTACTTTAATAACAGGCTTTAGAGATTCAAGATTTTGTCACAGTGGGTAAATTGACCAAATACACATTACAGGATTAAGGCAGCTTTAAGTTGTCTGTGATAAAAGGAATTATCCTTGGTAGTCTACAAGAGGCAGTAGGAAAGCTTTGCTCATCACATGAGGCATACTGTTTTAGACTCAGTAAAGCACTGAGATTTTGTATGCTTTTTATAAACAAGAAGAGTGAAAGAAGAACTGCATTTCCCATGCAAATATCCTGGGAAAATAGATTACTGAAGCTAGGAATGTAACGTGAGCCACAATGGACAGCCTGACAAGCAGCACAGAAGTATGCCACTCAGAGGAGTCCAAGGTGCTAGTTTTATTAGCGTACTTGCAAATCAGGCTGACCTTAATAAGAAGGTTGTTAGAGATGGCTATTGGAGAGCTTCAGGGAGTGCACTGGTCAAAAAAATTCTCCTGGGGGAGATCTTGAGCCTGCGTTAATGGTTACAGCTGCACTGAAGAAAAAGAAACAATATGGGCTCAGCTCAGTATTATCACATTGCATTTTTGCTTAGGGACACTGAGTTGAAGGGCATAAAATATTTGCCCTAAAGCCTGAAGTCATCCAAAACTGACTTTGAGATACTTAAAACATAGACAGTGTTTGGTTGAATGTGTGCTCATAAACCTGATTATATCTAGGCCTGATTTTGAGCAAGTATCCTTACTGTATGACTTCATGAAAAACAACAGTCATCTTTCAGTCTCATTTTGGAATGGAGAAAAGCTGCTGTTTGAATTTTACACTGGGTAAAAGAGATGCAGTATCACTTGAACCCATCACTTGAGCCCAATACTCAAAAAAGTGCAGCTCTTACAAAGACAAAAAGTGAAGGGCATGCTCTTAAACCAAAGCTGCTTGAAGTTGCCAATTTCGAATAGCCCTACCACTGATCGAATCACACATGTAAAGAGTTTGGCTGAAGGGACCGAGAAAGATAAATTGCAGAACACTCCAAATAATTTAGCATACTATCTTTGTCCACCACATCTTGAAACCTGGTAACGTAGCAGGATAATTAGGGATGGGATGGAAGGAAGGAATATTCACTCACAGTTACATGTCTTCTCCCATTTCACCCACATGCGGAAACAACTTCTTATCCAGCTAACTGACCAAATGATTATACGACAGGCAAGGCAGTGAATTCATTTTCTTTGGCCAGTAAGAATCCAGTCACATGCAGTACCCTGATGCAAGATGAGAGGCTACATAGCCAATCTCAGCACACTGAAGTAGGGCAGTTGGAAGGATAAACTGTATTATAGCGTTCATGGGAACATAGCTAAAATCCCAGCTTGCGCTCTTGCTGTGGTTCACAGTGCAGCTGTGCATCTATCCCACATCAAGGGAAAAGCACGTATTTTCTCACAGATATTTATTATCCAGGTGCCACTTGTATCTTCTTTCCTCAGACGTTTCATACCTCCTTTGCCAGTACAACATCTCTAAAAGACAGAGAGCTAACCATCTCCCAGTTCCTCGAAAACAAGACAGACATTGGTGAACCAAAATATCACAAACTCTGGAGAAGTACCAGAGACCCACTCAAACCAACCAGGATGCTCTTGAAGAAGATCCAGTGAAGAGAGCTAGCATATAACTCAGAGAGCACAGCAGACAAGAAATTTGGTCCCAAAAGTTCATGCTTAAAGGAATACTAGAGGCATCTAAAACCATAATTAGACACAAGTGGCCAAGCAGTAAAATCAACAGGAGTGGCTGAGGCTCATCTCTGCTGATGCTCATCTCTGCTGATGCTCAAGCTGTTGCCTCTCTTGATAGTTCATTATGGACAGAAGTGCCTACATTTTAGGCACCCGAATTTGAACATTTTTCCATTACACTTCAGCAATTGCACTTATTTAAATTTAGAAAAGAAATGTACTTTTATGTATTTATTTATGTTTTTGAAGTACATGACTGAGCAGAAGAAAATTATTAGAATGATGCAGTACAAACACTGCTTCCGGCTTCAGTACAAGTACTTGTTATTCCCTCTCCTGCTTGACTGCAGTGCTCCATTATCTGACCCTTTAGTTTTCCTATCATCTCCAACAACTGCCTTCCTGCTTTTACTGCCTGAAGTGTGATATATTAAGAGTTGTAATGCTTTCCTAGAACAGAGCAGTGACTAATCCAACTCTGGGTCCAGTGGTGTGTGATCGGTCAGATGAGAATTATTACCCGCTTAGGTCTTTCCCTTCTCTGTAGGGAGCAGCTACTCTGAGAAGCAGGACTTGCTCCAGCAGTCTGACTTAATTGGATGTCTCCAAGCCCGAGAGCTAGTTCACAGTCACTGTGGCCACCACTGCCAGAGGAGAGAGGAGCTCTGCCAAGTACTGGGCAATAACCAAATCCTAAACGTTTTTTTCCCTCTCCTCTCTTTCTTTAGCAAACGTGCTGTATCAGAGCACCAGCTATTGCATGACAAGGGCAAGTCAATCCAAGACTTACGAAGAAGAATATTCCTTCAAAATTTAATTGAAGGTGTCAATACTGCAGAAATCCGTGCAACGTCAGAGGTTTCACCTAACCCTAAGCCTGCTACCAACACGAAGAACTACCCTGTCCGATTTGGTAGTGAAGATGAGGGCAGATACCTAACTCAGGAGACAAACAAATCACAGACCTACAAGGAGCAGCCCCTGAAGGTATCGGGGAAGAAAAAGAAAGCAAAGCCTGGAAAACGTAAGGAACAAGAGAAGAAAAAGAGGCGAGCCCGCTCTGCTTGGCTAAATTCTGGCATGTATGGAAGCAGCGTGACCGAGAGCCCGCTCTTGGACAACTCTGTTACTACACATAATCACACTTTAAGGTAATTCTGCTACATCCTTTTGGGGGGCATACCATACATGTAATGAAATTGTTACCCTTCAGTGTGAGAGGCCAAGGCCTCGCTCAAACCTTTGTGCTCGTAACTGGGCAGTGGCTTTTCCAGCAGTGCACCGTCTCGAGGTGCTTTCTGGAGGTAAGTACGTACCCTTCCCACTTTGCACTGGTGACAAAGTCTTTCTTTCCTATGACAAACAAGTCAATTAAACCACTTATAAGTAAAGTTATTTATGCAAAAAGAAAGCACATCATAGCCATTAAATTTTCCTTTCCTGTTTCAACTGTAGTGTCTCTCACGTCAGATCTTGGTCCCACACTTGGGCCTCAGCAGATTGAAAGCTTTGAGTTTTATTTAAGGCTCTGCATCTATAAAATGGCAAAGTTTTCTTTCCTCCCTCTCAACGCCTCCCCTTTTTGGCAACTTTCCTACCCTTACTTTACAGTTTTTCATTTTACTGTTTAACCTTAGGGGAGAACACGGAAAATTTCTCTCTTAGTAATATCTGCAAACAACGCAGAGCAGCCTTTCGCCATAAAATTTTCCCTGCCATTAGGACTTTTTAATTCAGCTCCATCTTTTTGCCAGCTCGTGAAACAATTACGTTGCTGCTGAAAAATGTTGAGCATTGCTTTTGGAGCGAGACGTGCTTCCCTCATGTATGACAATGAAGGGTTTTCAGGGCAGTGGCGAGTTGGAGACTTCAACCTAAGTGCCCCAAGCGACTCATCCGCTGCAGTCATCTCGGCTTGAGTGGAAGTCTGCACACTTGCAGACAAAGCCGAGGAGCCCGCTCCTCAGTTCTCCTCAAATGTTTGCATTTTCAACAAACCTCCTCCTCCTCCCCTTTACTTTGGCAGAATAGAGACATAAAAGGAGTGCCACTTGCTCACAGTAAATCCCTTAGAAAAAGACACCAGCTGTGGGATTTACTAAAATCCAGTCTTGGGTTAAGCTTTGCAGGCTGCAGTTTGCAACGTGCTCCTTCGTCTCAACTTCTGCTGGCATCTACAGGAGTTACCGGCATTCGAGGCTGGGCATCAGTGTCCTGGAGCACGGCTGTAGCAGCTAGTAGTGGTGTACGAGAGGCTGGTTTGTCGCAGTGCCTTAGGAAAGGCATGCTCCGGGACTCTGGTCAGGAGGCACCTGATGTTTCCACAGATGTTAAGGAACTGTGGTAGCCAATAAATAACACCTGTCTTAGG